GGGGTATCCCCCAGGTCACCTCTACGAGCCAAGAGGAAAGACGCGAGGAATAATTTTTTTTATTCTGTCATCGCTGTCGCCTAGTCTGCAGAGACCTGCTCGGGTTTGTCCAACTCGCGCCCAGACCGGGAGAGCGGCAGAGCCCGCGCTCCTCCGGCAACAGTACAAGCCGGTCCCGGTGAGGGTCGGTTTTGTCGGGGACGGTTGCAGCCCCGTATTCGTACGACCGACAAAAGCTCCGCTCAGACAGCGGCTGCTAACCTTCAACCCACAACATTGCACTTGGAAGCAAAAGCACCTGACCCAAAACTTGCAGACGGCAGGGAGACAGGGGGACCTGTGTCCCCTGCGGGGCCGCCGCAGCTGCGCCCCTTGCCCTCTGCATGCATTTTCGCTGGGTTCTAGTATTATTATACCGAAAAATCCCTCCACGTTCACAGACACAGCCCCAAAACAAGGGGAGTAGCAATCCTCCTGCCCCACGGCTCACGAATCGGCGAGTCGTCGTTGCTGCGGTGCCTCCTCTGAGCCAGGCCGAGCCCCGCCGCCGGGCAGAGGGCTCTCGCCTCCATGCCTCCGCTTTCCCCACTGCCTTAAAAGGTCCGGTAAGTAAGGAATTCCTTCAGCTTCCTGGGAATGGGGAGCGCGAGGACCTGGTACGTCGTCAGGAAGGTGCGCAGAGCTTTGCGACACAAGTGCTTTAGCGACGAGAGGACCCTTGGAGCGGTCCAGAATTGCACGTGGCCATCCCTCGTCCTGCAACGGGACCCAAACAAGCCGTGAGCACAGGGCAGAGCGACGCGAGAAAACTCAGTTACCCCCAAATATCCCCAGCTCGCAGCAACCACGCGCTCCCCAGCCCAGGAAACCAGCCTGCACCCCCAGGGAAGCCCAGAATTTGCTGAGCAGACCCGGAGCTGCAGGAGGAGGGAGCAGCCACGTGTTTCTCCGCTCTCTTCTCCCGCATACACACCCCGTGGCAATGAAACCGCCGTGTGGGAAGTACATGCAGCACAGGCCGTTGGTCATGGGAGCAAACGCAACCGGAGACCGCAGCTCCAACGCCCAGATCCTCAGGAGCCTAAGGAGAAAGGGAGGGGACACGATGCCAGGCCCACATCCACGCAGTGCCTGCAGCTAAAATAAAGCCTCTGGGTTCACCTGAATGCATGCAAACTCTGGAGTAGGATTTTCTTCCCATGGGCTTAGAGCATCCCAGGACCGTCACAACACGGCAGCAAGGCGGGAAGCACTGTCCCCTGCAGAGCTGAGCTGGACGCAGACGGAGCTAGTGACTGGGCTGACGGGGACAGTGAGGGCGGCACGGCACGCAGGACACGGGCCCCGGCTCATCGCTCAAGAGGGGCGACAGGGCCCTGACCTTGCTACCCCTTGCCACAGCCGAGCCGCGGTGTCCCGGGCAGCCTGCCCTTTCCCCTTACGCCGGGCATTGGTGGGGACCCGGCATGCGAGGTCTGCTCGCCACGGGCACGTCCTGAGCTCCTGGTTCGTTTTGGTGGTGTCCTCCTGGGACCCTCTTGCCACTGGAGGTCCCCAAGGGGGTTCACTCACCTGTCGTCCGCCACCGTGGCCAGGTAGAGGCCCTCAGGAGAGAAGCAGACGGAGCGCAGGGAGCTGGTGTGGACTTCGCTGCTGTAGTCCACCGCTGAGTGCAAGGGGACGTGGCTGCGGGTGGGGAGAACAAGCCCAGCGTCAGCCCCAGGCTGCCGTGAGCCCCATCCCCAGTGTTCCGGGGCTGGCAGAGGGGCCAAACCCGGCAAGTCAGAGCCCCCCTTCAGCCGCTGGAGACAGGGGAGAAGTGCTGTGCCCAACTAGAAGGGAAGGCCCCAACGAACCCCCACGGCATTGCTCTGTCCCCCATCCACGGTCCCTCACCAGCCCCCCGGCTCCATACCGCAGCGTCCTCAGCTGCTCCCCGGTGTAGGGGTCCCACATGATGACGCAGGCGTCATAGGAGGCGGTGACGAGGAGCGCCGAATCCGGCGAGAAGTCGCACGACACCACGCTGCTCTGGTGCCCCTCCAGCCTCCGGATGAGGGTGTAAGACCGCATGCTCCACAGCAGCGCCTGCGGGACACGGGCAGGGGCTGAGGCTGGGAACATCCCCAGGGCGGGAACGGAGGAGAAGCATCTCCCCCTTGGGGTTTAAGGCACGTGGGCTCTGGTCCCAGCTCCTCCATGCAGAAGCAGAATGGCCGAGGAGCGAGGGTGGCTCTGGCCTGGCCCCTTCTCATAGCGGGGCTTCTCGCATGGGGGCCAAAGGGAGCACTGGATTCACGGGATGGCTCCCATCCTGCAGGACTCACCGACTTCTCTCCGGCAGCGGAGCAGAGCATGCTGCAGTCCGGGGAGATGGAGCAGCAGTAGACCCCCTGCACGTGGCCCGACAGCACCTGGACCTGCCGCCCTGGGGACGGCAGACACGCGAGTCACGAGAGGGGAGCATAGGATGACAGAATCATTAAGGTTGGAAAAGACCTCTAAGATCATCGAGTCCAACCGTCGACC